ACTTTTTTTAGATAGCTAGTTCGGCAATTAGAAACTCCACATTTATTAACCATTATAATCACTAGCTTCCCAAATTAAAAAAAAACATTATTTACTAACAGTCTGATAAATAATTAAAATGCAAAAAAAATGGCGTTTTAATTCTAGGCCTATTAATGCAACAGCCGTGTATTAAGTAGGCCATGATAATCTTTTAATTAATTTAATCATTTTTTAAAAAGTTTAATATATAACATTTACATTGGTATGAAATCTTGTTGCCACGTGCAACAACATTTTATTTAGAGTGTAAAAAAAAGAATGTTGTACATAACATTATAACTGGTTATTTAGACATATTTTGTAAAGACTTAAACATTGCTACTATAACCATCAGGTATCAATGCCATTAAATAATTAAAATTATAATAGAAAATAAAAAAATTTATCTTTAATATTTGTCAAAAGTAATTGTTTTAAAAAATATATAACATTATTGGTACCAAATGCTAATGCAACTTAAGAACACAAAATATAAAAAAGAATTTAAAAAACTCTTTTTTTTATTTAATTTTCAAGGAGGTATACCACTTATAGTGTATGTTTATTCTCCTATTTTCACCTCTAGTGTGTGCAATTTATGTTTAAAAAATCCTGTTCACACGAGTTCACACGAGTGGTGGGAGAGTAACTTTAGGTGTTGCTAAGTGTCTATTGCAAAATACTTGTAACTCATAAGACTGAATTGGCCTAATAAAATTAATGAAATACTCCATTTCTTTTCCAAATATATGGGATAGGGGGTTGTTTATTACACTTTTTGGAATGCCATTTATTCAATTTTTATTCAAATGGAGCGCAGTTTTACAACAAGGTGTGTTGTCCATATCTCCATATTTATTATACCATTTTATTTCGGAATACATTCTACAAGAAACATTTTTTTTTAAAAAGGTCACTAGAATGTACCAACCAACCCCACTATGAGGGTTGTTTGTCATACAGGACGGAGTTAGTTGTGATACAATTAAATCAGTTGATTTGTTATTAAAATATAATTAATTGGGTATTGAATTAAAAAATCATTCACTTTTAAACATTTTATCTGGAATAGCTGGCAAAGCTTTTTAATACAATATAATATAAGACAAAATTTTCTTTTAAGTTAACTAAAATCTTCATCGGAGTAATAGTTTAAACATATAAAGTTCGGCACGCCTGGTGTGCATTGTTCGAATGCCTACTTCTTGCATCTAGACACTGTGCCCATGTTTCTTTTGGTCTGCTACTAGCAAAGGATTCACAAAACGGCCTATATTTCAATATTTGTTGCAGCGTTGCCTTTTTCTTTTTTGCAGGATTCTTTTTTTATTTGCCTTTACATCCACCATTATCAATTGATTTCTTCTTAATCTTATTTTTGTCGCTTAGATAGTTATGCTTGGACAGTAGGGTGTCCCAAAAAAAAAAATTGGAAAAAAGAAATGTGCGCTATCTAGAACTTGGTTACTAGGTGTATTATGACCATATATATTCGAATTTTTTAATTTAGGCGGTTACAAGTGCTTGGTGTAAAACTTAAAATTTTTGATTTTTTTCTATTTCTACGATAAAACTTGTAAATATTTAAAAAAATAATCATGTTAAACATTTGTTATAATAAAATTTATTTTAAATGTATGTTGCATATGCTGAAGAGTCGTAGAAAGAAAGGTTGAACAAATATCATAAGCACTTCAAATCTGATTTAGCTGGGTTTTAGTCAGATTTGTATTCAACGTTTTTCTATGGTTTTTTGCAACCAACAAGAAATTCTGCTTTATATCTTCATTTCGGTATGACATAATAAAGTCTTGGATAAGTTTGATATTTCTTTCTGTACAATCGTTGGTGACTTCCATATTTTTAACAAAAAATTTAAACTTGTCTAGAACAGTAAAGTCCCCTTGTGCAGCTAACTCAACCTGGTCATGGGTAACCTGAGTTAGGCAAAACAAATTCCAGCTCTGGTCACTAACTAAATTTGATAGTGTTGTAGACGGTGTGATTATAGGCATTTTAGGCCTATCTTTTGTGAACTCTTTAGGAACTGAAAACTGTATGAAGTTTTAGAGTATTTTCTTCTTCTTGACTTTTTCCTCATCATCATCCACTAAGGCCATTACAACAAGCTGCTGACTGAAATACCACGTATGATTTTACATGCTTTTCAGTTCCTAAATAGTTGTTGTGTCTATCTTGTCAACAATTTTTGACCAAACCTTCTGTAGGCGAACATAAACTTCTCTTCTCGGAGACTTGGTATCGGCGCCAGTCAGTGCAGTCATAATTTTTAATATGCACTTCAATAATATGGCGACGACACATGCACCAGACAAGAATTGTATTAAGGATAGTTGATAGAATTGTAACTACTCCCGCAAATTTTCCAGTGTTGGATGCAGTTGAGTTGCAGCAAACACCAATAATATTGTCGACAATATCATAGTACTCCAAGATATTGAGGATTAAATGTGCCTGCTCTGACCCAGTTGAATCTTCTGTCTGTACTATGCCAAGCAAAAAATCATCTCAATATTCCAAATCTGGACTGGTTACACTAACTGCAATTCTTTTACATGTAACTGTCAGATCATTTTCCTCTTCTAGTTGTCTAACAAGTTTCCCATCAAAATGAACTATAAGTTTTTTTCCTTTTAAAACATTAAAAACATCCTGCCGTAGTTTTTCTCCTAAATCAATTAAATTATACATTTAGAATAATAAAGATAACAAAACAAATAAACTTAATAATTTTTATGATTTAACTAATTAAGATTTTTTTTAATAATTATGAAAACATGATTTAACTAATTATATTTTTGTGAATAATAGTTACCAAGATTTTCAATAATTCTTTTTCTATGAGGAGTAGATCTTGATAAATTAATCTCATGCAAGTCAACAACTGCTTTATTGCAGATAGCAGAAATTTTCGCAGTCTGGGTCTAACACCAATTCTATGCCGAACGCTAACAGCAGAAGTAGCTTCAATTAGTTCAGCAGGTGTTAATTCTAAAATTATTTTTGTTTTTTTTTTGATTTGGATACATCATATTCAGAATCTTCACTTTCTTCACATAAAAGAGAACTTTCAAATGGGCTAAAAATGTTATGAATTGTCTTGTCTGTCGACTTCTGCAATCTCTCAAATGTTTCCACAGTCCTTTTTTCTTTTTGACCCTTTGAGTTTTTCTGATCATTCAACTATTTAACTCTTTCAAATCTCTCCTTTCTTCGCAGAGCCCTATTTTCAAATACTTTATCTTGCTGTGCAGTCATGGTCATATTTCTTTTAGATCGCTGGTCTTCGTAGAAGGCTACATCTTCTTCCTTTGCCTCTTCTGTTCTTCTATGATCTTTCATTAACATGTCAATTATTTGAGAAGCAGACATATCAAATAAGGTATCAATCTCCACCTGGAAATCAACTTGCTTTTTAGTCTAGATTCCTTTGCTTGAACATCAGTTTAGTTTACTCCATCCTTTCATTTTGATATATTTCTCTGTGAGTTTTAGGATCCTTTCACTGAAAAATATTACATAGCTGAAGTTACTAAAAACAAGATAAATCTATAATAATATTTGTTGTTGTAAAATTTATCTAACAGATCTTCCACTAATAATGTTGCACGCAAAACCAGCTTTTATCCAGATGTCAGTAACAGCTGAAGTTACACATCTATTGGTTGATATTTTACATGCTCTATACTGGCAAACTAGACTTCTGGTTCCTGTTTTTGTTGGACAGGCAATAATTTTTTTTGCTGGACTGAAATCTGGTGCTCCAATATAAGAAAATCAACTGAAATATATATTTATATTCATGAATTGTGGGTTAAGTAAATAAATTAGATAGAAACTAGATAATAAAACAACCTTGAAGATTTGAAAAAGTATTGCAAGATATTTTTGACACTGGGCAGCTGGTTGCCTGGAAGCTCTTTTATGGGTTATTTTAATAGATATAGAGATCGTCTTAAACTGCTTTAAACAATGTACTTTACTTTTTCCCGTGGTTCTATTTTGCTGGATTTTTTTAGTGTTCGACCCATTTTTTAAAATATATTTAACCCTTTAAGGGCCGAATTATGAAATTGACTTTAAAAAATTATTTAATAATATTTTCACAACAGTTAATGGTCAAATTATTAGAAAATATAAAGTTTTCTTTTGCTGACGTCAGCAAGTTCCTAAAAACAATTGTTGCCATTTGGCAACATTGGCCTTCCATAGTAAAATACATTTAAAATTTTTTTTTTTTTAATATATTACTTTTTCATAATTGTATATAGAATACCATAATGATGAAAAACCTTCATTATGTCATTAACATAATTAGAGAACACCTCTAAGATTAAGCTTATAGCATGATAGGTTTGACTATGCAGAGGCAGTACCGATAAAGTTTATAAGCAAAAAAAGTAAAATTTAGTGAATTTATAGTAACCAAATTAAAACGTATTGCATATACATATTAGAAAAACACAAAAATAGCAAAAATATTGCTGGCTACATACATTATTTCTAATAAATAATAGGTAATGTAATTTTACCACTCTAAATACACGAAGAAGTTATTTTTTGTGAAACCTATAGAAACAATTTTTGTTCTGAGTCAGGCAAAGAGCTATTTTGCATTTTGTACAACATACCTGACTAAATCCAGTCTTGCAGAATCGACATCTGTTTTTTGATTCTTTACACTTTGGCCAATGATCTATGCTATCATAACAAACATCCACACAAGGGTTTGGTACTAAAGGTTTACAACCACGTTTACTTGTACTTTCATCAGCATCAATCGATCTCTTTGATGGTCTGCCAACTGACCTTGAAGGAAATTCTTTTCCAGCAGATATAAGAGCTTCAGCAACACTGGAAATAAATTTTAACAGTGAATACTGACTTTTTTGGGGTAAATTTAATTGGCTAGCATAACGACGATAAAGAAGCCATTCATTAACTTTACTAATATCTACTCAATGAAATATCACCTTCAAATACCACCTCTTTGTTTTTATTGGGGTGCGATAAAGGGATATTAGCATGTCAGCTAAGTCAACTCCTCCCATAGACTTGTTATACTCCTTTACAATTTCAGGACAGGAAACACTGACATAGGATTTATTTTTTCGATTCCACCTTTTGACATTTGATAACGAAATGGGGGAAGAGAATGTAGAAACTAGTTGAACACATTTGTTGTCAAACCATCTCACCAAAACCAACCCTGAATTGACATCTGTGAAATAGCAACTGCTGCCACGCCCTTTTTTTTTTAATTCTTTCTCTGCTGAGAGTGGACATTTTTTTATTCTGTTTGATCTAATTGTTGCTGTGGTTAAAATTCCATCAATTTTTAGCTTCAAACACAGATCCAAAGATGTAAACCAATTGTCAAAAAACAGTTTATGATTAACATTTTTTGGAAGCGTTTCGCAAAGCTTTCTTACAACATATTCCCCATTACATTTTATATTTACACATGCTCCAGAATACATTAAAAAATCAAACATCATACCAGATGCACCAGCTCTAACAAAATTTTTAAACCCCCATTTTATTGGCTTGTTTGCATTGTATTGACGTATGCCACTAAATTTGGTTTTAGCAGGAATTATTTGTTCATCTATACTCTGTTTTTCCTCATGTTCAATAAGTATACAATTTTTCCTCACACCAAGAATTGGTTGCACCTTAAGCAGTTTATTGTTTTTATTAGCAACATCATCTTTATTTGTATTGTCATTTGCATCCAAAAAGTGGCGTAGTTGTTTATATCGATTTCTTGGCATGGCATCAGCTATTGGGGCATATCTAGTTTCCTTTGCCCAATACATGTGGTAAGCAGGTAATAGTATTATTGACATCATCATGTGCATACCAAGAAACTTCTCTATTTCATCCTTATTTGTGTTCATAGATTTTCCATTTTTCTGAACACTATAAAAATTTGTTTGTCCCACAAGTGTATTAGTTATAGAATCATCCCAGAAAAGCTTGAAAAATGTCAATGGTGTCATTTCATCATAACATTGGGGTGATTGACTAAAACCAGCCCCAGAAAACTCAAAATTTGATAGAGGAGGTTCTTTGTTTCTCCATCTAAAGATTAGCTGTATACAACTATCAGTTTCACTTTCGTTATCACTTTCAACATTATCATCTTCATCACTGCAATCAATATCTGGTACAATATCATCATTCAATCTTTCAAGTTGAAAATCAGGCTCTTCAGTGTCATCATCCTCCAAATCAGATAGCTCAGAATCAGAGCAAGGAGATAATACATAATGGAGAGCTTCTTCAACATTGAATCTAGTTTTAAATTTTTTCTCTATCTGAAATTTATAAATTTGTAACAAATACATATTATGTATGTATATATATATATATATATATATATATATATATATATATATATATATATATATATATATATATATACAGAAGAAAAAATAACGAAATATAATAGAAACGTTATTATAAAAATTATTCTAGATTTTTCCGACATAGTCCGTTGTTGCCATATGGCAACAAATACTTTTTAAAAAGTTTTCAGAAAAAAGAAAATAAGAAAAAAAATAAAAATTATTCTTTTTAGAGACTAGAAACACATGTTAACAATATACCTAATTAATTTTTAAACTTTATTTTATAAAAAATCCACAATAAAGATTTATAAAACAGCAACATTGCAGTTTTAAAACTAAGCACAAGTATTACGGCTTAAAAATCTTTTAAAAGTGTATGGCGACCATTTTTATTTTTTTTTCTTATTGCTGAATCATCATAAAATACAAAAGCACTTTTTAAATGAACAAATTAAAGACCAGGCTTTGAGGTTAATGGCTTTTGTATTTTGTTGCCATACAGCAACAATGGCCCATAAAGGGTTAATTATGAAACTAAAAATGATGAAACAGTTTTATATCACATGTATTTTAAACTAATCAAAAGTTAATAAATAAAAAATAGCGGTAACCAATAAAATACCAATATTCAAGAAAAAAAATTCGTATCGTTAAGTATGAGTAAAAGATGACTAATTTAAAAAATAATAAATAAAAAATGCTACTTTAAAACAAATTTCATCATTTTTTTTTATTGCAGGTACATTTAAAATAATAAAAACTAAAAAAATATGACATTTTTTGAAAATTGCCAGTTTTACACCAAGCTCTTACACTTGTCTCAGATCAATATTTTTTATGTATTTCGTCTTTTTACATATAAGAGCCAAGTTTTTAGTAGCGCACAAAAAAAATTTTTTTTGGGACACCCTATTGCACAGGGGAGTCAGTCACTATTATTATTGAATGCTTTTTTCTGTCTCTGGTAGACATTATCAGGGGCGGACCCAGGAAATTATTTAAGTACATCTGATTTTTCGAAAAGCCTCTAACCCCCTCCCTAGGGCCGATACGAAAGGAGGGGGTTGTCAGAGGTTATCCCACCTTCCAAGCTTTCTAAAATGCATTTGAGTTGACACATCAAGCAAGTTTTAAACTTTTTAGTGTCTTTAGTTGGTAAAAAAATACACCATGGAAAAAAAAAAGTCCCACCATGGAAGACCTATTCTAGACAGCTCTCACCTTTTAAGAGTAGAAGTGAAGTGATTGCAAAAATCGACTAATTAGCCTACAATAATATATACAGGGCCGTAGGGAGGAGCACGTGCACCCCCTTCTTGCCCTCCTACCCTCGCCTCGTCCTCTTTGCATCTTTCAAATGTTGAAATAGAATATTTTGATTATATAATATTTACTTGAATAATAAAAAATGTTATATTTTTATAAAATATTTACTTGAATAATAAAAATCACAGTTGGTAATATAATATTTGTTAAATTATTTTAGTAAATACAACACGGGTGGGACAAATATTTCACTGCTTTCTTAAAAAATAAGTTTATTTAATCGTCAAAATTAAATCATTCTCTCCAAGTTAATCTTAATAGATTGAGCTTTTTTTCAATTAAAAATTGCAAGGTTATAACCGGGGCACTTTACTTTTAGATTATAAAATTATATATTTACACAATGTTTACAGATCTTTTATTAAAAACTATATTCTCACATTACCATTTATAAAAAAAATTATACAATGCAAATTTTTATATTTATATTTTAACAAATATACTACAAAATAACACAAATTGTAATAAAATATTTGTATATTAAATATGTAATTTAAAGTTATATAAAGAATTATTTAGAGATGCATTCTTAATGCCACGTTTTGTAAAAATTTTAAAACCCTTATTTTATTAAATCTTGCTGATAAATACATAAAAACTGAAAAAATTCAATTAAAAAAACAAAAGCATTTGCCAATATAACAAATACAACTTAGCCTTTTATATATAAAAATGATAACATCAGATCGGTGTCATTACTGTTTGGCACTGTCCCATGGTGGTTGAATATGTTGAAAATAAATATGTCCACTTACATTCATATGAAGTTAATGGAAAAGTAGTAAGTAAATTTTTAATGTTTTTATAACCAGGAAAATTTATCACTTTTAACAACTCAGTAATATTGATATTGAAACTACCTTTTTAAATTTAACTAAAAGGCTTCACATAAATGAAGCTCACAAAGTTAAAGCATGAGAATTCAGTAAATCTGTTTCATAAAAGTCACTAAAAGATATAATTGAATTTCTAAAATCATTTTTGTAGGAACTACCACAAATTTCTTAAAAATTATCCAAAACCTTTTCCACTCAACACGTTTTTTTGCCAAACTTTATCAAACGCTTTAGAAATGTCAAGAGCGATGGCCTTAACCTCTCCACCTTTATCTAATGCGCTATAAAACCTATTGGTTATTACTGATAGCAAATCAGCCGTAGAACAAGAAGATCAAAATCCATATTGATGATCAGAAAGTATTTTATGAGATTCAAGATGAGAGATTAATTTTGTTAATTAAAGATTCAAAAACCTTACTTATGATAGGAAGAAAACTAATAAGACGGTAGTTAGACCAATCAGATCGCTCTCCAGAATCTTTAAAAATTGGGATAACAGGTACTGCTTTTCAGCAGGCTGGAAAACAAGGCTCTGATAAGCACTTGTTGCTTATCATAGTCTTGTTTTCCAGCCTGCTGGAAAACAAGACTCTGATAACAAAAAATAGTTTTGAAAGAATAGACGACAGCTCCGGAGAACACTTCTGCAAGACTATAACGGGTATGTTGTCTGGGCCGGAAGCTGTAGAAAAGTCTAAGCAGGAAATTACTTTAGATACCGAAGCAGCTATATCAGGTAGAACGCAACTAGTTGAATCAAGAGATGATATTGATGAAAAGTTCTTAGCAAACAATTCAGTTTTGTCTTTAGGTGAGGTGACAAAGTCTGAACCATACAAAAGAGGTGGAATTACAGACTTGCCCTTTTTAATAATACTATTAAAGATTCTCCAGAAGTAACGAGAACCTAATTTTTTTGATGAAATACGAGATTTCATGATCTGAGAATAGTGAGCTTTGGCGTTAGACAAAACCTTTTTACAATGGTTCCTAGCAGTAATAAACAGACGTCTGTTTTCTGGAGAATTGTTTTGCTGATAGATATGGAAGAAATGGTTTCGATTGGCAATTGCAGCAGCACAATGTAATGAAAAACATGGAGAAGAGTGAGGCTTGACCTAGAATCGTTGAGAGGGAATAAAGGATTCCATGCCAGCCTGAATCGACGAAGTTATGTAAAAAGCACATTTATCAACAGGAAGACGAAAGATTTCTACCCAGGAGCCATCACAAAAAAAATCACGGAAAGAATTCCAGTCAGCTTTAAGGTAGTTGTAAGATGTACAATGATAGGGGGATTCTGATGGTAAAGAAGAATGAGATTATCGTTTTAGAGAAACCAAACCATGATCGAATGCACCTAAGGGTCAGTGTGGAGAAACTGAGCACTGACTAGGATCAGAAGCAAGACATAAGCTGAGTAGAGAAGGTAAATGATTCGGATTATCTGGAAAGCGAGTTGGGAAGTTGACTATTTGAGTTAGAGATTTAGAGAGAGGCAAAAGTTGTGGGCCTTAATGCCTGCAGAGTCACTGACACTATAGCCAAGCCATTCAGTATGATGAACATTGATGTCACCGACAACAACAATATTGGCTGATGGATAAAAAGAGAGGGCTTGGTCAATATGATCAGAAATAACATCAAGAAGAGTGCAGTCTTGATATGAAAGAGAGCGATATAGAACAAAGAGAAAGGTGATAGATTGAAGTGGTGCTAAACAAAAGCACATAAAAGCGAAGTCTGTGGATTCAAACCTAATCATCAGACAAATGGGTGAATTCTTACAAATGTAAATGCCCAGGCCAAGCATGTGACTATTGGAGTCTTTTAAGAATTAAAGGAAAATAACCATCAACACTAAGACCACAAGATTAGACAGAAAAACTCAAATTAATCTCACAAAAAGCAAGTAGGTCTGGTGAACTTTGCAAGAGATAAGACTCAACAGAAGAAAAATTACTTCGAAGACCACGAATATTGGTGAATGATAAGATTAGCGAACTTGGTGATGACTGTGGTTTTTTGTGTTTTATAGTTTTTGTTACTTTATTCATTTTTAAATTTGTGAAGAATTTGACTCGAAACATAGATAGTACTCAGTACACTTTTTTATAGCCCAAGCAATTGCCTTATTTGGCAATGCACTAATAAACCCTAAGCCATAACAAAGGGCTCCAATGTGGTCTTGGCAATGCACATCAAAAGAACAAACAGGACAACCATCCATGTGCAACATGGCACTGTTAGTACTCTGAATTTTTTCAGCTGTTGATGGAATCAACCTCTCTGAGAGCTACCACAGAGTTCGGGAAACCTGACTACCAGCCGGCCTCAGAACCATAAAACTGAGTTTTAGAGATGTACCCTGGTTTGAATATAATAGAATAAGTTGCCTAGTCATAAAAACAGAGACACAAGCAAAACCCATGCATCGAGTCAAGAAGATCCTGCGTTCAACATCCTAAACTGGAAACAGTTTATTAAAAATACATCTGCGCCAGCCTAACAGATGAAGAAGAGGTGCGAGGCTATTCAACAGATAGAATCTGTTTACCCCTTAAGTCTTTGCCTAGGAGGCTTTCTACAAGACAGCAGCCGGATGCATTTAACATCTGCCCAAAATGAGTATTTTTATCGAGACACCATCTCTAGCCTTTACTCAACCAAGAGCCCCAAGGCAGGGGATGTTTTATGCCAAAATTTGCATCTCCTAACCTTTGCCTAAAAAGGCATATCCTACAAGGCAGCAGGACATGACGCAGATTGTACTGGGTTACGTGTTACCAGTAGCAGGATAAATATACTAAAGTTACTCGACATATTGCACTTTGTATAACGCACAAATAACTAAATTAAGTCTATGACTGTTGCAATGATCGTATGTAGCTTTTTTATTCAGATTTAAAACACTAGAGGACAAACATTTAGTTTGACCATCAATGGCTCTAGCACCATCATATCAAAAAACTCTGCAATTTATGATATATAAAAAAGAATCTAAAACTTTTTTCCGAAAAATAAAATAATCTTTACTAGTAACACCATTTGTGCAATCTAAGAAACTGATAAATTTTCTTATTGAACTTTAAACCAACAAACCATATAATTAATAATAGTTGTTTTTTACTTTAATTATCAGAAGCTTCATCAGCAAAAATAAAAAAATGTTTTAAATTTTTACACTATTTTGTCATTAATAATTTCTATAAAACACTTTTTTACCAGATGATATGGTGTCTTAAATATGTAAGGAGCATATTTTTTTTATAATATCTAAGTTAGTAATATCTATCTTGAAGAATTTTTTCAACGCTTAATTTTTTAAGAAATCTAAATAAATTTACTAGAGTCGAGACATTTCTAAATACCACAATAAACCGTAAATATTTCAGGGTGTAAGAAAAATGGTACGCCCAACAGTGTTTTTCATAAATAAAATCAATTACTTAAATAAAAATTTACCTATTAAAAACTAAACTAAATAAAAAGCCCAATCATAAAAAAAAATAATGTTAGGTACGTCCATTGTTTTATTTTAACATGTATTAATTATTAAAATATATTTCACCTCCTTATCATCGCAAAACAATAGATTTTGACTAAGATTTTACTTAGGGTGTACTACCATTGGTACGTCCAAAAATTGTTATAGTTAAAGAAATTAATATTTTGCCTTTATAAAGAAAAAAAAAAATTTTTAATGTTTTTCATTGATTAATAAAATAATATTGGGTACGTCCATTGACCATTCTCATATTATTACTTTAACCTCCAGTTAAAAAAGATTTTTTCATTTAAACTTGAAGAACCGCTCTAAACAAGAAGCAACTTTATTTATTCTAAACAAGAAGCGAAAAAATTTTTTTTTTTCTTGTATAAGTGTTTATATAGAGATAATAAAACTTAAATTTAATTCACTTGCCGGTTAAGTAAAAAAATTATACACAATATTAAAAATTTTTATACGCAATATTAAAATATTATATTAACTTTTTTTTTTAATTTATTTTTATTTTTGGGTAAGTCTACAGAAGCACTAGACAAACCCTAGATCCGCCACTGATTATTCTTAGCCTTCCTTTTAATAAGTCTTATTCTTTTAGCCCTTAACCTTGAACTTACCCTTTAGATGAGTCTGGTTGAGGATAGACCTAATGGATAGACCTACATTAGTCATTACGTTGAAAAATAGTTTCATAGTTCTTAACAAAAGAGGATGTTTCCAAAATATCATACGACCAGTAACACAACTGAGAGCAAATTTATCATCAGAAATAATGTCTAGATTCAAAGGAAATACCCCTGTTGAAGCAAAACTACTTAAAATATTTCGTGGAGAAGCAGCCATGGGAAACGCTACCTTCACAATTGTTGGAATGTTATATATGATAAATGTTTTTTCGTGAAAACACAAATTTACTGCAGTGTTAATGTATGTTTTAAGTGGGTAATAAACTAATTTGTTCAATGGCTGTAAATAAGTCCATTCATAAGAAAAGTCAAAATATTTCAAAACTATTTTATTCCAAAGAAAGGCTCCTCGGAAAGAAACAAAGATTTACCAAAATTTGTATGCGAAAATTGTAGTCGAATAAAATTATCATTTCGTAGAATATACTTGTTTTTTTCTTTTATTGAGTATAGGTTATGAAAGGAAGAAGGAGAACCGTTGGTTTAACATTTGTACATAAAACATAAAATATTATAAACGTTAAGCTGATATATGTTTAAAATATTCATTTCAAGTAAGAAAGGCCTGGCATGAGTAAAATGGTCTTTAAAGTTTATAAGACGTGAAAGTTATAAGACTTTAAAGTTTATAAGACGATTCTCTTGATGATGAAGAGGTTCTAGTATACTTTCGTTCACACTACCCCCAATCAATATTAGCGTAGTTAATATGGCAGTGAATAAAGGAATAATATAATTGAATTAAAGTATGTTTATTTAAGAAACTTCTTGATATATATAATATTCCTATAGTTCTAGCAATTTTATTTAAGAAACTTCTTGATATATATAATATTCCTATAGTTCTAGCAATTTTGTTATTTAGATTGTTAACGTGATTTTTCCATTTAAGATTTTCATCAATATGAATGCCAAAAAATTTTGTAATTTTTGTTCGCTTTATTTCAATATTGTCAACAAAAATAAGTGGCGTAATACTTGGAATTAGTTTTTTTTTGAAGTTGGGTAAAAAAGCATCCATTTAGTTTTTTCTATATTAATTGATTGTTTGTTTGATTTAAACCAGTCAGAAATTTCAATTAGCTCAGTGTTCATATTTCTAAATAATGTTGTTAGATCATTCCCGACGGGCATTTGTTTTTAAAAGTTACGATCTAAATGTATTTTAAATGTCTTTTATAAACGTCTTTTAAACATTAATGTTTAAAAGACGTTTAAAAGACGTTTAAAACACATTTAGAACGTAACTTTTAAAAACAAATGCCCGTCGGGTTGCTGGTTAAAAAAAGATTAGTGTCATCCGCAAATATAATTGTCATTAAGTTTGAGGCTTTGTAGAGATCATTGATGTATATTAGGAATAATAATGGGCCTAGTATTAAGCCTTATATTTAATAAATTTGATGATAATGGTGAGTCTATTTGAATAAACTGTAGGTCTTCAGTACTAATAAAGTATTTCTAATGATTCCATAATGTTCTAGTTTGTCATAAAGAATTTCATAATCTATAGTATCGAAAGCTTTCGATAGATCTATGAAAATACCTGCAATGTTTCAAATGAATCGACAATATTTCTTGTTAGTTGAAGTATTGCATGTTCTGCAGAACTATTTTTTTTAAATCCATATTGGTTATTGAATAATATTTTGTTTTCTGATAAGTGGTTAAAAATGTTATTATATAATATTCTATCTAGAATTTTTAAAAAAAACTGGGTGAACTGATATTGGGCGATAATGACTGAGGTTAGAAGGTTCCCCTCCTTTGAAAATTGGGGTAACTCTAGCTATTTTGAGTTTGTCAGGAAATACTGCTTGGTTTTTATTGAGCATGCAAAGACCCTAAAGAGAATATTTTTAATTGTCATATGAACCAATAACAATATTTCCGTTTACATCGTCTGGACCAATGAAATTGCTTTATTAGACTTAAGCATTTTGAAAGCAATCTCAAATTCATCAAAACTTTAAATTTATTTAGAGAAGTTATTTCAGGGGAAATCAAATCTTTTTTTGAATTGATTGAATTATTAATTATTGGGATATTTTTGGCTAAATATGGTCCAACTGATACAAAGAACTTGTTTATTTCGTTTGCTATTATATAGGGTTATAAAAAACTCAGTATTTATTTTAATTGCCTTTGGCAAAGAGCATATTTTCATTTTTTTGTTACAAGTGATTTCAATAAAAAGTTGCCATTTTCGCTTAAAGTCATTTTTGTATTTATCAAATAATTCGCTGTAATAATTTCCTTTAAGGATTTTTTTTTGATTTTCAAATGGTTTGGTAATGGTTTTATAAAGTGTTTTGTCTTCAATTGTTTTTGTTTTAAGGTATTTAATATATAATTTTTGAGGATTTTCTAAGATCTTTTGTTACCCATGTGATTTTAAACTTTTTAGGAAGTTTACATCATAAACTTCATAAAAAACTTTAAAAAATGCATTATACATATTATTTGTATCTGACAAATTATTTACTGAATTCCAGTTTATTAATGTTAATTGTTCCTTAAATGATAAAATATTTTTATCATTAATAAAGCGTTTGATGACGACCTGTTTTTCATGTAATATTGAATCTGTATTAATATTTATAGATAAAAAAATAGAAAAATGATCCGACAGATTACTTTTAATTATTCCTGTTTTTAGTAATTTATTAGATGTTTCAGTTGTTATGATATTGTCTATTAACGAGGCAGATGTTGCAGTTACCCTTGATAGTCTATTTATTAAAGGAATTGCTCCATTCTCAAACAAGTCATTATAAAACTTTTTAATATTTTTATTTAAGTAATATTCAAAACTGTCTAATTTCATATCACCAATTATGTAATTTAATTTCTTTTCTTGAAAATTTTTTCTTATAATATCAGTAATTAAAAAACTATTAAATTGTTCAATTACGCCTGAAGGTGAGCAATAACAACATCTCAAAAGTTTTATTATTTTTGGTTGTAATTTTAATCGTTGAAACCTCTTTATCGCCATCGGAAATACTCATGTCAGGCCTGATAATAAATCGCAAGCTTGTGGTTAAGTAAATAAGAACACCACCACTTTGTTTATTTGTTTTACGCGCAAGTGGGATCATTTTAAATCCTAAAAGGTGGAGATTTGCGTTTGAGGTAACATCATCAGAGCTGCACCACGTTTCTGTTACACATATTCTTGTTAAAAATATTTGAAGTTTCCTCCAAGTTATTGCAAAATGTTTCAAATTTTTTTTTTCTTTTATTGAAATGAACAACATTAATAGGATCCCGCTCCAGAAATTCTTTTATTTTATTGTTAAAAAAAAAGGGTTGCTTTGTAGAGCACCTGTACTAAAAAAATTGTTTAGATCTTGATCAAATTTTATGTCAGGGTTAGGGTTAGGGTCAGGGTTCAAAATTATTTGTATGAGAAAAATTAAAAAATTTTAATTCAAAATTGTTTGAATCCATTTTAAAAGTATTATTCGCATAAAAATATTTTAAAAAAGAATTTCTATTTTAATTTAAAAATCTCGTGAAATTAGTTTATTATAAATGACTTTGGCAAACTTACCCTTTGATCGTAGTGCTTTTGCTTCTATAAAAAGTTTCTTCCTTGTTTCGATCGTTCGCTCGCTAAAATCTTCGTTTATGTATAGGTGTTGATTCCAAAATTTTATCTTTACGTAGTTTTTCAGTATCATGCTTTTGTCTTTATAGTTTAAAAACTTAACAGAATAGTTCTGCCTTTTTCATCAGATCAATTCTTTCCAACTCTATTCCAACTTCTTTTCCAACTTCCAAGCTCTCTCAATGCTAAAATCAGTTTTAAAACCAAGTTTAGATTTCAACTACTCCTGAATTTTTTTTCACTTTGTTCCCAAGTTTCATTTACGCTTTTCATCGATACCATTTATTCTGAGGTTATTTCGGCGACTTCGATCCTCAAGCTCCGCCATTTTATCTTTGATAATATCTTTGTTTTCAAATATTTTGATGTTTTTATTTTGTTCGTTAGGTATCGGTAAGTTTTTTTTTGTTTCAGTCAACACACGTTCATACTTTTCGTTTATAAATTCCATCGAATTTTTTATCTCGCATGCTTCAGTTTTTAAAGTTTTATTTTCTTCCTGTATACTAAATATTTTTGCCTCAAGTCGTTCTATTTTGTCATTAAAAATTTTTAGTATAGTATTCTCGTGTAAATCCATAAATTCTTTTATTTGCGCAATCTTAAATTTTGCCATTTTTTTTCTCGCTCTTGAAACACGTCCGTTCAGTGCGTAAAGTCTGTAGGCGGGCAAATTTAGAAATTGAGTAAATGCAGTCTTTACTCGGAATGAGTTGCAGACTGCAATAACTGTCGATTTGACTATCTTTACAATTGTGGTTAAAAGCAGTTCCCAATGTCCTTTTGTTGAATCATTAAATACTTGAGTTAAAGCCCTGCTAGAAGCATTACATAGACCAGCAAAGCACTTATTCGGGTCTTCAAGACACAATAACATATCAGTAAAAACAACTTTGTCATCGAGAGGCCCCGTTGGAATAAAAATAAGACTTCGATGAACATTGTGAGATTTAGATTTTCAAATTGAAGCCATGTGTGCACATTTGCAGTAGCCATCGAATTTGTATCATCACAAATTAAAATAGGTGTTTCTAGTGTAGTTAGTTTCATATCTGAATTTACAAATGGTGATAAAAATGGAAAATTCGATTGAGAATCTTCAGGCGTTGGGACGCAGTTGCCATCAAATTTCACTCTCTTTTCCATCCTTTTTAATTCACATACAATAATAGATGTGGAAGTGTAGATATTATTGTTATTCTAACACTATAATAGAAGATAAAAAAAAAGGATAACATCTAAAAATTTAAAATGCAAAAAAACAAAGTTATTAACACTTCATTTTGAGATAACGAAATATCTGTAATTAGACTTGCTGCAGAGGAAAGGTTACAAGCATGCGAAGTTTGAGTCAACACTTTGATTCGTGCTCAAATCATTTAAATTTCTTATGTCAAGATTTACAATTATTTCTGGTGCAGGGATAAAACTTAAATAAATATATATATATAAAACTTAAATATATATATATATATATATATATATATATATATATATATATATATATATATAGAGAGAGAGAGAGAGAGAGAGAGAGAGAGAGC